ATAATATTAAGATCCCATACTAAATTCACACATTTTAATATTTCCTAAATCTTGAACAATCTTAATATTGTCTAGATAATAGTGATTATAATCACTTGTTGCAATAATTTGATCATTGGCTATATGACAAAGTTCTAACCAAGTTGGTGAATGTAATAGTTTAGAAATATAAGGATTTCCATTTCCAAAATCAACATCTCCTTGACTAATAATAAAAATATTTCCTTCAATTGGAATTTTATTTAGATTATATTTAATACTCTCAGAATTTTCATAGTATTCAAAAGCACAAAATTTCACATAACATTTATTTTTTGTATACTTTTTTTTATTTCATTTCGCATTAATTTCAAAAAATTTAAATTTTTTAGCCTATATTGATTAATTGGTACACCATTATATTTTGTATTAACTCTAAAAGGTAAAATTGTTTGATCTATATCATTTTTTTGATGACGAATAGTTTTCAAATGAGTAGACCAACTTTTGTAACCAATTGTTAAATTACATTTATCACAAGTTTTAGCAGGATATATTTTTTTATTTGATACATCAATTTCTTTAATTAAAGTTCCAATTTTATTTAATCCATCCATTCTTAATTATATTCTTTATTATTTTTTTTTACATTCATTTTTCAATAAAATAATTTTTATTTAAAATTCTATTTAAATAATAGAAGGAGGTTTATATAGATATCACTTCCTTTAACTTAGGTCATATTATTAAAATATTGTTTTTTGTAACTCTTGGTTATAAAACTCCCTATAATCTCTTCATTGTTTAAATCCATAATTTTATAGGTAATAGGATTTGTGTTTAAAATTTCATTAACTATAAATATTTCTTTTGTCCAATTATTAATAAATTTATTACCAAATGTTTTTTTAGAAGCTGTTATTCTTACTCTATCACCTACACTAAATTTAATTTTTGGTTTAGGTTGGTTTTTTGTAGAAAATAATTTGTGAAAAACAACATCTTCGTTAGATTTATTTACTTCACAAGGTCTCATACCAATAGATCGGTGTATGTCTTTGAAATTATATTCATATATTAATTTTTGTAAAATTTTAATCCATTTTTTAGAATTTGTAACTTCAAATTGTAATCTCATTTTCTTGTTTAATGTCCTATTAAATCTTTCAATAATTGACGATTTTTCTTCATTTTGGGTGTGATACATTTTTATTCCATATTCTTGCAAAACTTTTTTAAAATGTATGATAACAAGTTTTGGTGTACTGTATCATGAAATCAATCTAATTTTCTTTTGCGTTCTTCTCTTTATCATTCGCTACCGCGTATATTTTATTTGTATTATTAACTATTGGTAGTGCGTTGTTGGTATTTTAGTCCAGTTTCATCCAAGGATTTTCACTTTTTGGTCGCATTTTTGCTATGGCTTGGACCGTGAGTACAATTATTGTTGTATCCGTTATCACTTTGGCGATTTCACACTATCAAATTATCACCGTCTTACTTGGATCAGCTGTTTATTTTTTCCTGTCTTGGAGACTTTAACGCAAGGTACTAAACTGCATTAACTCTCGCCTACTGGCCGTATATGCAAACGACTTTGCATTACTGTTAAACTGGTAGTATCCAATTGTGTCATGATTAATTCAAAACCAACCACTCGCAGTGGCGCTAAATTACAGGCTGTCGCTTCTCCAAAAGTTGTCTCTTCACCTGCTAGCAGTTCTCCATCCAACGATGATATCATGACTACGTTATTATCCTTTCGAACTGAGTTTTCTGATTCTTTTAAAAAACTGTCATTGACGCAAGACAATCAATTTAAAGAGCTAAAAAATGACATAGTTCAACTGTCCTCTCTTCTTGCTGAACTCAAAGCTGAAAATAACACTCTTAAGGGTGAGGTGGTTTTTCTAAAAGATAAAGTCCTGAGGCTGGAATCCTTGGATTCTCCTGCCTTTTCATCCACTGTTGTATCACAAGGGTTCCAGAAAACGTTTGAACGAGAAAGATGCTCTACTAATTTATTGGTATACAGTGTTCCTGAGTCTTCCGCTGAATCTACCACTCAACGTATCACTGATGACAAATCAACTTTTGAGAATATTGTAATTCCTCTTATAGGCAATCTTCCTGCTCAATACAAATTGGTTCGTCTGGGTAAAGCTCAGGCTAACAACACTCGTCCCTTGAAAATAATTTTTTAATCTAAAGAATGCGCTTCTAAATTACTAGCTACCTATTATGAGGTAAAGAAAAAGGGTACTAACTTTCCGCCAAACTTCCGAATTGTAAAAGATAAGACTCTACTTCAACGTACCCTACTGCGCAACTGCCACTCTGAACTTGAGCGTAGGTCTCAAGATGGCGAAGTTGGACTGCAGATTATTATTGCTAATAATCAATTTTATTTTAATGTCTAGAGTATTTATCTCAGAAAAGCAGCGAATATACTAATTTAAAGTCTCCTAAAAAAGGAAAACAAACCCACAGATCTCCATATAACCATAATATGTTCAATGCTTATTCCAATTCTCCCAAAAAACGATTTTCGACTCAACAAATGCTGAATGGTCTACCGCCTGGTAAATTTATATTTTGATCATTATTATAACTATAACAACATAAAATGTGTATATTATATATATTTATTTTATTAATATTTTAAAAACTAGACCTTATACAATAACGTGAAACAAAATTCCTTTTTAATTTATTGCTTTATTAATAGAGACAATTAAAAATAGGAAATAGTGATTGAAAAGCTAAGATACATAGTACTAAAAGTAAGTGTTATGATAATAAATGATGAACATGAAGAACTATACATAAGCATAATATACATATTTAAGCTATTTTTTGTATAGGTATTTAGTTTTTTATACATACAAATATAATATGATGTATCAAGCATGCATATAGATATATGTATTAATACGTTTTATTAATGATTATTAATGCCTAGAAATAACCAAATATTTTTATATTTATACATTTTTATTTAATTTAATTAATATTCATACTTAGATGTGTGTTTGAGAAAACTTTTGGCCAAACAAATTGTTATGAAAATTGAATTGAAATCCATCAATGAACGATTAAAGAAAATAACTGCATCTAAGGATAATCACTTGGATATCGAAAAAGAAGACTTCTCCAATTTAGACGGCTTGTTTCCTTTAGAAAGTGAGAACGATCTAATAAACATTGAAAATCAAATTCAAAGTTCTCCAACTTATAGAAAAAAATTGGTTAGTAAGCACTTCTTGGTTTTTTATTATTTGGTAAATTCATTAACAATAGCTCCTAATATATTTCTCAGGTAAAAGAGTTATCCTTGTCTGGAGGATCGAAAGTAAAAATCATACTAGCAAGAATTTTAAACAAACTATTCAAAGATGAACTGCTTCAAAATTACTCCTACTTTGGCAGGAACAAAAAAAAAAGAAATTTTCCAGCCTCTCAATATGCAGTGTAATTCATGGTTAGTATACCAATTTTTTATAAATAACTGTTATAATTTCATTATAAAATATTTACACAAAGTTGCATTTATTGATTTAATGAACTACTGCCTACTCAATCATGTTTGAGAGACAGTTATATTGGCTCACTATAATGTTTCATTAAATATTTGGTGATTGTTTATATGAACCCATAATTATTGTATGGTAGTTTCTGAAAACTGCAGTTTATTTCTAAACAATACACCTAACAATTGGCTGGTAATTTGGGCCAAAAAAACAATAAATTGGGGCAGCCCATTGGAAAAAAAAGCGTTTGTTTTGGAAATTGTTGTATTGGCTTGCAGCATTCATAATATCAATATATTATAATAACATGTATGAACCTATCATTTTAATTTTCCATCTTCTAGAAGACAATAGTTATTATCTTCACAACTAATTTACTATAGCTATTATTATAATATTTTCAATTTTTCAATGTATTTTCCATTTAATGAAACTTGCCAATCATTCGAGGCACTATTTTGTGTATTTAATCTAAACATAATTTGTTTGTCTGTCCATAGTTCCTAGTTTTTTTTGATTTTTTTTTTTATATATATTATTGAGTATTGTAAACTTAACTGTTTTTGATATATAAATACTATTTACAAGATGATTCACCCATCATGTTCACTCCCCTTTTTCATTTAATAATAAATTTATTCAAATTCTGATTTTTTTAAATATATTATCTTGAGATTTTCTGACTTCTGTACTACTAAGGAGTCAAGCCGTTATAATAACTTTGATTTTTCTCAAATCATAGTACATGGATACTTGAAATTATAAATATAGATAAACCTCACCATTGACCTCATATCTTTCAAACCCATTATTAAAGACCTATTATTCTTAGTACCCAAAGTTAAATAACTCAAAAACTACTAGTTCAAATTTTGATTTTGATACACTTACATAAATAAATAATATTTAAAAAGTTTTAGTGTTACATGAATAAAACTTTTTTTCATTGATTGTTATCAGATGCAGTTAGACGCGTACACGATTTTAAAGATACCAGTACAACAGACATTGAAACCAGAATCGGAACTCATCTTATTCATGCACCATTTCGTTTGAAGAAACCATAACAGTTCATTCTTTGTAATATAATGATCTTATATAATATTTACATATTTAAATGTATAATAAATAAAATATTTGATTTAAATGATGTGCACTCTATTATATTTCCTATTTCTTTATTATCTGGGGCATGCTTAAGGGAGGGGAGGTTCAAGGAATTAACCTCCCCATCCTATTGTATAAATACCTACGACTGTTTAATACCTATGCTCTATTTTGTATATTATATTATGCATTATTTGTATATTTAATACACATATATTATATATATATATATATACAATACATACAATATATTATATATATATATATATATATATTTATATATATATATTTATTATATTTTTTTAAAGTTCCAATTAACCTTACAGTAATATTTTTGTTGATGCATAATTACTTCCTTGTTAATATTACAGAAGTGTTATTCTAAGATTGATGAAGCCTATTAGGAATATGATCTTCAGACTTACATGTTAACATTGAATAGACATTCAATTCGGATGTTAATTTAACATCAGAATTTGGACCAAATATCAACGAGTGCACCTTGCA